TTAAAACTGCTATTATTATTATTACTTTTGTTCTTTTTATTATTTTTTTTTATTCTTCCCTTCCCAGGTTCTAGTTTTCAGCTTTTTCTCTTTTCCCTGTTCCTGGTTGCAATTTTCTTTTCTTTCTCATGGTTAACCCCATTCCTTGTTTTTCTTTCTGCATTTTTCCCATTTTTTTCTTCATCATCCACCTTCTCTACTTTTTTTCTGTTGTTGCCCTCTTTCCAGATACTGTTTTTTTTTTTCCCCCTTTTTTACTGTTCCTGTGTGATTATATGGTGTGTTTTTTGTCTATTTGCTTTTACTTTTTTTTATGGTTATTCAATTGTTATTTTTGTCTAACTGAGTGGGAGAAATCAGCAGTCCCCATATGACACAACTACACCCACACCTCCTGCAGCTTCACTTACTGAGTGAGAACCACCGCTTCTTTCTCCACCAATGGGCCAATGATAAACATTCACCATGAAGAGCTTGACTCACCCTTCGCTGCTCTTCACAGTTAACAGAGATCTAAATACAACAATATCACAATGTCTTGGAGACAACAAACCATCATAGTCCACACAAAAAAGCAAGATAAAGAGGTAGAAACAAGGGATCAGGATACAGACCCAGAATATATCCCTGAGGAAGAAGCAGTATTGGAATTCCGTGATAAGGAATTCCAAAGAATTATATTTAGGTATCTTAAAATCAGGAAGGGAGTGCATCAGGGTTGTAACTTTTCATCATATTTATTTAATCTGTATGCTGAACAAATTATCCTAGAAGCCGGACTAAATGAAGAAGAACACAGCATCAGGATTAGAGGAAGACTCATTAACAGCGTGCAGTATGCATATGATACAACATTGCTTGCTTGAAAAAGAAGATGACTTGAAAGTGAAGATGATCATGTTGGAAGACTACAGTCTTCAGTATGCATTGCACCTCAGTATAAAGAAAACAAATCCTCACAACTCCAATAAGCAGCATCATGATAAATGGAGAAAAGATTGAAGTTATCAAAGATTTTATATTATTTGTTTCCACAATCAACACCAATGGAAATAGCAGTCAAGAAATCAGATGTTGTATTGCACTGGGCAAATCTGCTGCAAAAGACCTCTTTCAAGTGCTAAAGCCAAAGATGTCTCTTTGAAAACTAAAATGTGCCTAACCCACGGTATGGTGTTTTCAGTTGCCTTCTATGTATATGAAAGCTGTATGTGAATAAAGAAGACTGAAGAAGAGTTGATGCTTTGAGTTGTGGTGTTAGTGAAGTATACTGAAAGTATTATGGACTGCCAGAAGAATGAACAAATCTGTTCTGGAAGAAGTGCAGCTGGAATGCTCCTTGCAAGCGAGAGTGGCCAGACTTGGTCTCACCTACTTTTCTCATATTGTCCGAAGGGGCCTATTCCCTGGAGAAGCATATCATGCTTTGTGAAGTGGAGGGTCAGTGAAAAAGAGGATGACCCTCAATGAGATGAGTTGACACAGTGGCTGCAATGAAGGGCTAGGTACAGAAAGGACTGTGGGGCTGGTGTAGAACCAGGCAGTGTTTCATTCTGTTGTACAGGGGTCACTATGAGCTGACTTGATGGCACCTAACAACAACAGTGAAGAGAAATGAAGTTCTGAAACATGGTATGACTTGAATGGACCTTGAGAACATGCTGAATGAAATAAGTCAGTCACAAAAGGCAAATATTGTATGATCCCACCTATATAAAATATCTGGAATAGGCAAATGCATTGAGATCAAAGTTCATTAGTGATTAGCAGTGGTGGGAGTTGGGGGAATGGAGAGTCATTGCTTAGGGGACATTGAATATCTGTTAAGGGTGATGGAAAAATTTGGAAATGAATAGTGTAAGTTGCACAATGTGATGTATATAATTAACATCAGTAAATTGCACAGATGAAAAAATATTGAAATGGCAAACGTTTTGTCATATATATTTTTATCACAATTAAAATTTTTTTAAGAAGGTATGTTTCAGCCCATTCATATGATACTGAGGAAGCAGTTTGAAATAAGCATACGATGCTCTAGAAATGGGCTGAAAGTTAGAAATTACCCTACAATTGCTTTTGGTTGGACATAATTTGTAGTGTTCAGAACCATGGGTACATAGCTGCCTTTAAGTAGCAAAGAGCAAGCAGAGATGCCATAGGAAACAGAAATGGTGAGACTGGAAAGAGGAAAACCAGAAAGCTTTAGTGTCCCAGAAGTTATGGAGGAGATACATTTAAGAAGAAAGGTAACCTTTTCTGTCATACTGTCAAAGGGTTGAATTGGAACAAATTTTGAGAGGAAAGTATTGATTTGTTGAAATTTGAGAGATGATTTAGTAGAATGAATACAAGTCAAATTTGAATATAATAAAACTAATTTGACTGCTAACCAGAAGGCTGATGGTTCAAACACACCAGCCACCCTTCCGAAGGAAGGTTGGGCAATCTGCTTTCGTAGTGATACCACCTCCCAAGGAGGGGTCGCTATGAGTTGAATCTGACTCAGTGGCAGTGAGTTTTTTTTTTTGTTTGTTTGTTTACTCCTAATTAGACTGATAGAGTTGTACTTTGTGAAGAATTATTTCCTCTCCCTTTTAATTGTCTTTTGCTATATGACCAAAATATTAAGTTGAAATATATCGCTCAACTTAGTGTTTTTTCTTGAGAAAAATTGGGCTTTTCATTTTTCATTTTTTTAAGTCAGTCACTAAACTGGTATTATTTTTTCTCTTTATAAATATCTCAATTACAGTGTGGTCATTTAAGCATTTAATATAATTGAAAGCATAATGATGCTGAAATGAAAATTTTCCCTATCCCTACTGAATAATGAAATTGACTTACAAAGTATGTAGAACTGACAGATTGCATTTATTCACGGATCTAAACTAGAGCATTGCAAAATTCTGACCAGTCACACAGGGTGATGCTTAATGTGGTGCTGGCTTTGCTTCTTAGTAGGTGTAAGTCATCAGTTGGTTGGAAACAGAAATCATGTTAACATTTTTATCCCTTCTCTCTGTTCTATAGGTTGGGTAGGAGGATGTGTCTGGTATCTGGAAAGAAGAGCTGTGCAGGAATCCCCTCACAAGTTTATGCACCTTTTGAAGAATGTCAACAAGCAGTGGATTACATTTCAACACTTTAACTTCCTCAGACGCATGGTATGTTTAGAAGACCATATTTACTCTGTCTCTGTCTGCCTTTTCTTTCTCTGTGTGTGAGGGAATTTCAGAAATTCCTATTATAACAAAACTTTTAAGAAGCAGTATTTGAAAAGGACTTTTATTTAATGTCCTCTTAAATTTATCCAAAACTTTAACATCTAATTTTTTATTATTTTTAACTGAAACCAAACTGATTATGGTATTTGAGGTTCAAAGTATGATCCTAAACTTATTGATTAGGTTTGGAGAAATGTTGAGAACTGTTGGCATATTTCAACTTGGCTAAAGTTGGGAAAAGCTGAACTTTGTATGTTTTGTATACAGCTTTGTATATTATTTAAAGTTTTGCGAATACATCACAATACGCAAGTCATTGCCTGAACAGTGTGGCACCCTGTGTTTTTCTTACATCAGCAATACATTTTAAAAGTTTTTTTTTAACACATTTACTTCTGAGTAGGAACAAAGAAATGTAGTTTTTATAATTTGCTATACATTTTATAGTGGACATTGATAATGCTTCTCAGTCCTCATCTAGGCCCTTACCTAGCTAGGTTCGCTCCTTGACATTTTGGGTACCAAGGAGAGTACTTACCATCTTCTCAAAGTAGAAGGATCATAAAGTGGAGAATGGTAGCTAAAAACTCATAGTGAAAGCATGAGGAACAACAAATTCATAATCTAGAGCCCCATTGAACGTTGCTTTCATCTCTTTTTACTTTTAAAATGCCCTATCTTAAAATTCATTTTTTGATAACAATTAAATTTCCAAATGTGTTCAGTCTTTTTAAGTTGGGGACCAAACTGAAATATGTATATTACTTTTTTCATGTAAGCAGGACTAAATTTATTTTTTTATTTGTGAGTTTATAGTTGTTACCTTCAAAAGGAGACCTGGTGGTGTAGTGGTTAAAGCACTTAGCTGCTTACCAGAAGGTTAGTGGTTTGAAGCCACCAGCTGCTCCATGGGAGAAATATGTGGTAGTATACTTCTGTAAAGTTTTATAGCTTTGATAACCCCATGGGGGCAGTTCTGCTCTGTTCTATAGAGTTGCTGTGAGTTGGAATTGACCTGACAACAGTGGATTTTTTTGGTTTAGTTATTATCTAATGTATGTTATTTTAAGTCTTTATGCAGTATGAAGAAGTCACCTAACTAGCTATCAGGACAGGTGGGTTCTAGTCCCAGAGCCACTCATAACTGGTCGTTGACTATTGACTGTATCAGCTTCTGGCCTTCGTTTCCTTGCCTGTAAGTTAGAGAGATGCTGATAACATCTTTAACAACTATTGACAAAATTAAATAAGGTATATATTATGTAAATTATAATGTTGTTGTTAGGTGCCGTCGAGTCAGCCTTGACTCATAGCGACCCCTCCTTGGGTTTCCGAGGCAGTATCACTATGGAAGTAGGATTGCCCAACCTTCACGCTTTTAAAATTATAAAGTAATTTAATGTTAATAGTGGTAGTTACTGAGTGTAAGCAGTAGAGACTGTCTGACTCTAACACCTACATTCTTCCACATACCCCACTGCTATAAAGTCAATGGGCTCTTGATTATAGAAGACTTTTCATTATATTTGGAGGCTTAAACCTCCAGTTTATAGTGCTATTTTAGGAGGAATTCTAGAGAAGATAAAAAAGAAACAAATTTATTTTTCAAAGAGCTTAATATTCTAAGATTTCCAAAAACATAGAATTAAAAAATCATTGCTGAGGCATTAATTGATTTCTTCCTATCTCTTAGTATAGAAATTTTGATATAACAAGCCCTCCATACATATGTACTGAATTAACTAATGTTAAAGTTACAGGAACAATCTTTCCAGTCCCATAAAATTTAACTGATGAGAGGTGTTACTAAACAACCATTTAAGAGCATTTGGGGCATGGTTTTAGATTAATGTGCACTTTCTTATTTAGTATGCCACACAACTGAGCAGAAGTCTCAACCAGCAAGTAAAACCTAAGCCAGAGCCAATGACATCTTCTTTCCTTGAAAAAACATCTTCGTGTCAAGCCAAAACAGAAATATATGAGATGCGATCTCTTTCACCGCCCAGCCTGTCTTTGTCCAGAAAGCCCAATGAAAAAGAATTGATAGAACTAGACTCTCCTGCAATAATTGAGGGCTCAATAGAAACAGGAAAAGAGACAGAAAATGAAAAACAGTGGAAAGAGATGAAGCTGCATCTGGATGATTTGCCAGGAATTTTGGCTCGACTATCCAAAATCAAACTCACAGGTACTTTCCTTCTTCTGCTATGGATAGATTCTTACTTGGAACCATTTTTTTTTTTTTTAGTTAAATAAAAAGCTAATTTTACTTACTGATCCAAAAGGAATATTTTGAAATGCATGTCCTCTCAGTATTTTTCCTCTTATAAATTAAATTTGAATTTGAAATAAAATTTTTAAATTTTATTTATGTAGAATTTAAATATTATCACAGTATAACTGAAAACAGTCTCGTTTATTTGTAATTAAAGTAGAATGTTAATCCTGCTTATTTCTTTGTCTTTTGTGTTTTTAGACCTGTTGTTGTTGTTAGGTGCTGTCAAGTTTGCTCCTACTTGTAGTGACCATATGTACAGCAGGACAAAACACTGCCCAGTCATGCACCATCCTCACAATCCTTGGTATACTTGAGCCCATCATTACAGCCACTGTCTCTGTCTCCATCTATCTTGTTGAGGGTCTTCCTCTTTTTCACTGACCCTCCACTTTACCAAACATAATTTCCTTTTCTAGGGATAGGTCCCTTCTGACAACATGACCACTATAGTTTTAAAGATGCAGTAAGATAATGAGTTCTCTAAGTTTGAGTTTCTGTGTGCTTGTTATGCTATTGAGCCAGTGGTGACCACTGAGACTCCCAGCTCACTGCCTATGTTGCTTCTTAGAAGAAGACGCAACATAGGCAGTGAGCTGGGAGTCTCAGTGGTCACCACTGGCTCAATAGCATAACAAGCACTAGGGCTCCTGAGGTAGGAGCTCTGGTAGCATAGTGCCTAAGGCACTTGACTGCTAACCGGAAGGCTGGTGGTTCAAACCCACCAGCCACTCCTCGGAAGTAAGGTTGGGCAATCCTACTTCTGTAGTGATACTGCCTCGGAAACCCAAGGAGGGGT